ATGAATTATCACCGCTAAAATAACATTGATAAAAATTGCCACATGGAGAATATCGCGTAAGATATTTACCAAATATTCCTACAAAAGCATTTTCACTACAATGTAGAGAAAAAACTTGACTACCAACAGTATGATGATGCTTTTTAAGACACTTTTGAATTTCTCATACCATTACTTTCTTAATATGATCAAGCTCATAAATAGGTATCGGTAATATATGAGAAGGTATCATATTATGTTCTTTATGTTTTATTGTTTCATGCCATTGAAGACCACTTTGAGTTTTATAAGATTGTGGACGCATATAAAGAAAACAGATAAATCTTGACTTAGTAACGGAATTAGATATAACTAAATATGTTTTAAATAAGTAATAAATAAATAGTACTTTTGTTAAATAAATTTTAATATGCTACATACCTATTAGCCAAAAAGATGATGGGTTGAGTCTTTGAATGATAGGTTCCGAGCATGTTTGCTCGTTTTTCAATAATAAATAGTTTATTTTTGAGGAGTCTTTATGCGCACATGACATGATTTTTTATGCTCACATGATATAAAATGGGGTACAATTTTAATAAATTTAGGGATATTATAGTATAATTTTAGAACCCTAAAAATTAAACCGGCTGATATGAATACTACTTGAAATACAGTAATTAACTGGATCCAACTTGCCTAACAACAGAACCTTTATCCTATTATCCTTGGAGACTTTAATACATATAACTATAATAACAGTTCTTCAGCTAAATACAGACTCATCAACTTCTTACGTTACTCTAATATATATGATTTTGGTGCATATCTTAACAATACCTACTACACTTGATCTAATAATACTTATTCTAGTCGAATTGATTATATCTGGACCAATCAATTCAATATTCAATTCTTTCTATTATACAATCTTGATACTAGCAATACTTGTACCCACAGTGACCATCTTATACTTAGCACTTTATGAACAGTTTCCAATACTTTTAGCAAACCACCTCACTTGTATACTGGTATTAGTTGCTATATATTCAACTACAATGCTATGACTTCAGAAAACTGGTCTGAATTTTCTGATCCACTTATAACCAAACTCAATCAATATCGAACACCTTTGATACTTGAAACCTCTGAAAGTATTGATACCATATTGCACAAGATAAAACACTCTTTTATATATTTTGCTACATTAATTATTCCAAACAAAACAAGCTACAAGCATAACTACAATTACAAATTTACACCTTATAGTATACAACTTTATCTGTCTTCTAAAAAACTAGGTTTTCTAATTAAATATCTCAAAAACACTAATACAACTTCTAATATATCCACTATTAATACACAAATTCAAAACATTAATTCATGATCTCAATACAATCTCTAATCTCTTTTAAGCCTAAATCCTATCCAAATTTCTGAATAGATTAAACATGCTCAAGACATATGACATCAACTATATTAGGCATAACATGCTAAAAACTCTCTTCTACTTCATCAACAAATTCAACAAGCCTCTAAAAAAAGATGTAAAACTTTTGTTAGCAAACCAACACAAGCTATCAACAGTATTCTCAATCGCTACCAAGCACCTATATACTTCTCAAACATTAAACTTCCAAACCAACAAATTACTGAACCTTCTCTTATCAAACAACATATCCAAAACTATTTTTACAACTGGACTACTTACAAACCCATCAATTAAACACTTTTTGATAGCTTTTGATAACAAGAATACCTACCACAAGCTCACATTAACCCTAATTAGTATTGTTCACTTACATTACTAATTACAATAGAAGAGATAACCTCAACTATCTTCAAGCTTCCAAATGGTAAAACCTGTGGACCTACAAGTATCAGTTATAAAATGATCAAACATGCTGGGCTATATGTTTTTAAGCTCTTACTGTTCTTTGCTCAAAGCCAAATCTCAAAACAATGAAAAAATAGCAGAATCTACACCATTTCTAAATGCAATACTTTTGATGGTAACTTAATCATACTTGATCAATTAGTCTTGTTAAATATATTCGGAAGGTCTATACTAAAATTATTACTAACAGACTCAATTCAATATTTCAACAATATTCTATCTTATCACCTTTTAATTATATTGCTTTATCTGAAACTTCACTGCTACTCCTATACATATTCTCAATAATCTCATTGAGGTCACTTCTTGTAATCATAAAAACATATGGTTTCTGTCTTAAGATATGAGCAAGGCCTATGATTCTGTTAATCTTTCCTTACTTTAACATTCACTAGTTCAGCTCACTTTACCAACTACTATTATCAAGACTATCATTAATACCTTTTCAGATCACCACAACCAAGTTATAACTAATCTGGGCTAAATCCTTCATATTCTGTTCAAAGTAGTATTGATCAAGGAGAAACTATTATTCTACTTCTGTGGAGAATATATTATGATCCACTTATAATATATATTTACATATATTTCACTAGATACAATATGCAAACATCCTGGATTACTAGTCTTAAAAACAAATCCTTTAAACAACTTAAAGCCAAGTATTCAGTTTTAGCCTACATGAATAATACTTTTTGGCTTGTCTCTTCTCAATATGATCTTTCTCAGATCCTTTTTGTTGCCCAATCTTTTTATGATATAGCTAATATATAAGTCAATTCTTCTAAATCTATTCTCTGCACTAATAATTCTCCTCCTCACTACAACCTTATTATCTACAACTCACATTCATTACCTTTGCACTCATCTTATATACTCTTCAAGTTCCTTGGATGTTGGTTTACCTTAGACAACAAATTTACAAAACAAACACAACTCATCATTGAAGAATCACTACATCTTATTCAAATCGCAGATACTAAATATATTACTAATACTCATACTCAGTATATTATCAATACAGTAATTATATCTACTATTGAATACCGACTCCATAACCTTGTTCTTAGCCAATATATCTGCAAAATGGTACTCTCTAGCTCGTTAAACACAAAGCCAAATTAAATCGAACTATTTTTACAAGTACCCTTCTATATCCACAATTTTATAATATTCGTAATATTTGGAATATTCAACTTCAACATCATATTACTAACTATATTAAGCAGATTAATAACTCAGATCTTCTGGGTATCGCTTCTCGAATCCGTCTTTAACAAATCTAAAACAACCTTTAATTATCTAAAAATATTTTAATGCATCCCAACCCTATTATTGATAGTCCTAACAAATATACTACTAATTATAAAATTATTATACTATTCAAGCATCTTAATATTTCAATTACTCACAATCTAATTTATGAGATTCCAAATACTTCACAAGAAGGCACTATATCTTTGGAGTCAATACTTTCATCAAATTCCAACTACAGTTTTTTTAAAAAACAACTTCGACAACATCACATTCTTTACCTAGACCAACTTACTACATATGACAACTCATGTCTTCTTAGCTGGGAGCATATTGCATCCAGACTTCACAAAATCCCCAGAAGAAGAAAACCTTTATGGTTTACAACTCTTGAGAATCTTGTAACTAATCATGAACTTTATAGAACACTTGATAACCACTATAATCTTCCTGACATTAATCATTACTGTTTTTCTACTGATCACTTCTCTTTAAAACCCAAATCATGGCTTATAACTACTATTAGCGACCAAATAATAATAGGCAAAGCAAGAAGACAGACCACCCCAACTGGTCAAGTTCTTATAACACACTGGCAATGTTCTTTTCAATCA